GTTAAACTGCTCATCCGTGTAATACTTGCAGTTATTTTCAGAGTTCTTAAAAAAGTTTTTTTCAGGGTCAAAATCTTTGTCCGGTTCATGATAATGAATTTCAGTATTTCCAATAGTGTTCAGTTCCAGATCCAGTCCCTCAAAATCTATTAACTTCTGTAACAAATCATTTGCCTCATTCCGTACATGGGTCATACTTGTTGTTGTTGGTTCCAACGCTCATCTGCCGTCGCAGATATCAATATACCTGCGTGTCTCTTCATACATCTGAGGGTCCAGTGACCCCTTCATACTCTCGAGATGAAGGATGAAGGCAGAATAAACCGAGCTGTCAGGAGGCTGTGAGATGTTTTCAGCAACAGCATCATTTTCACTGTCTTTCACCATTTTATTTTAATTTGAAATCATGGTTTGCTTCATTTCAGATTGAGAAAAATGTCAAACTCTTTTCATGATGTCAAGTTAAGGAAAGAGAAAAGGAGAAAACAGAGTGCAAAGATGGATACAAGGAGATGAGAAAAGAAAAGAGGAGAAAAACAGTTTCAGAGGCAACGGAGTGAAGTGACGAAACAATAATAAGACAGGAAGAAAATATTAAAGTCAGGAAAAGGAAAAGGGGAAAGAGGACGGAAGATGGTGACAAAGGAGGGATGATGGTCTGAGAAATCGAGGTGTGGAGGGAGAGAAGAGGGACGATGGGAACACTGAGGACTGGCCTTGTTTCTGAAAATACAACTCACTGCTCAAGCTCCAGCTTAAAGGGACAACACGCCACATCTTCCCTTTCACCATCCTTCTAAACTTTGGACATCTAAGGCCAAGAAGGTCGAGCAGCGTGGCCACAAATCTCAGCAGCATTTGTCCGTACAATTTAGTAGCTTTAACAGAGACGGAAACACATTCGACATGTCTGTTAGACGCCATGTGTACACACCATCGAGGCGGCCTTCCCTCTGAGATTCAAGGGGTGGGCCTGAACTCAGTGTAGAAGACCTGTTATTGATCTTAACTGCCATCCAATTTAAAACCAATCATGTGATTCCCTATGTAACATTGGTGCCGACCATGGAGCAGAGCTGAGGCAGCGCCATTTTTGGAAAAGAGCCCCGTCCTGGGCTTTCAGAGCTCATTCATCAGAGTGACCCCTGGTTCCCACAGCTCCAACAGGCATCATGTCTGCTTCTTTCTCAGCTCTTATCATATGGACTGATGACTGAGGAGGTGGCAGGAGCCACTGGGAATGAGCTCATGTTCCCACAGGAGGCTTGTTGTGGAGCACACGCCTCGCCAGTGCATTTGCCGGGTAACCTGCCCGCTTCAAACGGTGAAATGTTTGCTGTGTTTCATGAGAACGGGGCATTCTGCCTACTTCACTAAACAGATCCCAGATCAGATGAGTAAGCCTGGATTTTCTAGGGCCAGCTAAGGAAACCCGGATGTGTCGGTCGTTCAACCTATGTTGTGGAGTAGAAAAGCTGGGTTCAGTCATTCGAGATGAGCGCGTGGTCAGTGACTATGTGCTGACAAAACCACGATCAGCTGGTTTCTCAGCGGCTGCACGCAGACGTCCAGATGAAGACCGTCACTGCAGCAGAGCCAGAGCTTCTGCTGGAGGACGACAATGGAGACGAGGAGCACCTTACAAATTAAAGGCCTACGTATTGAGTTTTAATCCTTAATGTGGCCACGACTGCATGTCCACGGCTTTGTCCAACTGCTGCGTTGTATTCAGAGCGAGCACAACGAGATCCTTGGAACATTTAGTGTCCTGAGCTCAGTCTTTTCCTCCACAGAACAACTGTCTAAATCATTAAGTTATCAACTATGTGTGCACTTATGATCAGTACAGATCTGTTTCTCCTCAGTTAACATTTTTCACTTATTTGACTTTTTATGGAGAAAAGCTGCTTTGATAAAAACCTATTATTAGGTCAACGGCTGCAGCTCTGTACTGATGCAGTGAAGCCACTACTGACTTTCATCACCAGAATCAGAAACTCTGTGACCAAACTCTTCTTCGCATTCCCCTGGAGTCAAACGTAGGTCAGCTGAAGGCTCACCCTGCTCAGCATGGTGAAGCTGAATCAAAGGCTCTTCATGGGGTTTCTGATCACGTGACTGCAGCTGCCCCCCTCGATGTCCCAGCAGTGAAACTGGACCACCATCCTCTGTCAGCAACAACCACACTGTCAACACAGGCCTGCACTAATTAGTACAGCAACACACTCGCAGGTCTGTTTACAGCAGAGGTGGCCGAGCTCCAGGGAGAGGAAGACAAGAGAGAGAGAGAAAGCAAAACCTGAAGACAGGGAGGACGAGAGAGAAGGAAAATAAAGGCTCAGCCAGTCAGAACAGAGCTGAGCTGAGCTGAGGGAGACTTCATCATGTGACCACTAAAGCTAAAAACCAAGGCTGCTTTGGTTAGAAAATGTCAGCTAGTGAAAACCACCCGTTCACATTTCATAAAGTGTGACACATGACAAACGCAGCCAGCTAATGTTTGACATCGGTGCTTGAAAAGTGGCTGCAGCAACAAATCAGATGATCAAAACTGTTTTCTAAAACCTGGTTTGAATCAACTAATCAATTACTGAATCAACCGCTGCAGCTCTAAACAAGCCACATATTTTGTAAACACAGGAACTTTGTCTAAAAACCAGGAACAATCTGATGAAGCAACAAGATCACAAGTTTAACCAGCGGCTGTCCACCATCAGGACCCGATGCTGTGGACCAGCACCAGTAGTATTTTGTGTTTCCCACATTACAACCACATTTCCCATAAACCCAGCTGCTTCCCGTGCTCTTTCCCACATCTTTGGTTTAGCTCCATTTCACTTAGAGGCTGTAAAAACAAACATCTGACCTGCAAACAGTCCAACGCCTGGTTCAGTCTGCGGCTGTGTGCAGGTCTGTAGAAACACACACCTCTGTGGATATGAATCCATTCCACCAAATGTTCCTGTATTTGATTCAGGCAAAGTTTTCTGATATTTGCCAATTCTGAAAAAACATTTTTTTCCTGAATCGGTTGCAGGACCGTGCAGCTTTACTTTGAAACCTGCTGTAAGATTTTTACATGAAATTATTAAGATTCACATTTCAAAGAAGAGAAAACTAGAAGAGGACAGATCGACCTTCACCTCTGACCTTTTATTTAATCCTTAAAATTTTCTTTCAGAAAAGCTGATCTGCACTAAACCTTGGTACGCGGTGTGTTGTTAGCAGCAGGAGCCACAAGTCACTTTACATGTTAAAGCTCCTGTCAACAAGATGCCAAATGTTTCCCAGTTGCTGCATCAAAGAAGAGAAGGGTGAGAAGGGTGGGGGAGGATAAGAACAGAGAGGGGGAGGGAAACGATGAGACGAACTGAGGCCAGAGGAGGATAAAGAGAAGAGTCTGGAGAAGAGGAGGAAACAGATGAGGAGTAGAGGGAGGAGGAAGGAAACAGCCAACAGGGGAGGGTGGGAAGATGTACACGAAGGAAAAACTGGGTGGAAGGAAAACAGAGGAGGAAGAAATAGAGAATGGGAGGGAGGGGAGAGGAGCAGCGGTCCAGCCGGCATCTGATTACATAATTGCTCCACAGGATTTGAAACTGGGTCTGCGCAAAAACAACGCCTAGAGCAGCAACAGCTACGGTGACCTTAAACTTCCCATGTGCCAGGTCACTGCAGCAACGTTAAGGGCAACTCGTGGCCGGATAGGAGAGAAAAAACAACACAAAATCATAAAAGTTATAAAAACCTGCGTATTTCGAGTCCGAACCCTGAACCCAGAACCCAGAACCCAGCGTGAAGCAGCGTCATTTAGGTCAAAACTGAGACAACACGACAGAAAGTGGGAACACTGGAGGAGTGTGATGGGAATATTCTGGTGTTTCTGCTCTGGGGCTGAGGTCAGCAGAGGCGGCCACGCCTGCACCATCACCTCCACCATCTCATCAGGGAGAAAAGAATGACTCCCTCCATCAGCTTCGACCTGAGCGCGGAGGTGAGACGTGGAGAGCTGCAGAGTTCAGCGCAGCAGCTCTGGCGCACTAATTACACAAACACACACACACACACACACACACACACACACACAAGTTCAACACCACGACGGAGAGCAGGGGAAAGCTGGGAGCCGGGAGAAAAGCTCGATACCCGTCCTCCCTGTGCGCCAACAACCCGCTGCTGCACCACAACAATGACACCGCTGGTTTAACTGCACCGTTACTCCGAGAAACGCGCCTCACCCCGGGCTGAACGGGAAACATCCCCGCTACAGCGTCGTGCCCAATCGCAGACACAATGAAAAACAAATCTGTGCAGAAGCTGACTGGAAATGAAACAAGCAGCTGGATAAACCGCGCAGACCGGGCCGGCTCGGTTCAGCTAGGCTCGGCCCGGGTTCCCACTCACCTGAAGGCCGATAGAAGCGCAGTGGCGTCGCGCTCGGAGTGAAGGACGGACAGACAGACTGCTCTGAGAGAAAACAGCGCAGGAGCAAAGAGTCCCCAAATCCACCAATCCTCCTCCTCCTCTTCCTCCCCCCTCCGCCTCAGCACAGCCCGGACTGCAGCGCCCGGTGCGCTCAGTTCTCTCACCCCGCTGCACCGGGGGAGCGGCACCACTGCGTGTGCTATTTGTTACTGGTATGGACTGATTATGAGACACAAAGAGGGTACATATTAATGAAATGATCCCTACGGGGTTTGGGGGGGAGGATAATTTGCTTTTATTATTTGTATCTCATAAATAAAGAAAAACGCGGAGTCACATTGGAAAAGATGAATACAAATAAAAGGCAGTCACATACCCAGTGGGATGAATACACGTACGCCCTTGCTCTAGCAGTAAATACATAATTAGATAAATGGAAATAAAACGGATCCACCTGTACCACAAAGTGTCTCCACCCGTCAGGGCTGCAGTGGTGACAACATGAAGCGCTTCCAGCTCCCAAAGTGTGAGCGAGAGGCGGAGAACCAGGCAGCAGGGTGGAGGAGTCTGCAGAGAGGCGCTGATGCCAAACAGCTCCGACTCTGAGGAGCTGGGACGGTCACCGGGCAGGACAGGTACGATGAGTCCAAACCTTCAGTCTGGTTCCATCTCGCAGCTGTGGAGTCAGAAACGTCCCCCATCAGTGTGAAGGCTTCCTGCTTCATAGTGAGCCAGCACAGCCACAGCTGAGCCTCAGAGCCCGGAGCTTAACAAGCCTCCCACTCAGGAGTCTCAGGAGGCCTGAGCCCCGTGTTTGTCTGATACATACACTGCATTGAAAATATATTTAAAGTAGTAATTCTGCAGAATGACTTCATATTTAAGCATCACTAAAGATGTTTTACCTCCACACTGTGGGGCAGCCCAGGTGGTTCATTTATAACTGTAGTATTTTGTGTACAATTCAGAGTCACTGGTCAGCCTAACCTGCTTGTTTCTGGACAGTGGAGGGCACCTGGAGCACAAACACACCCCACACACACAGCAGGTTTGAACCTGGCACCTCCCGGCTGTGAAGCTGACCGCTGCACCACTGTGCCGCCCCTTTAACATAATTTAATAATCCTAATCTGCACAGGAAATAAACACAGTGGAGTAAAGGCAACATTTGCTTCCAAAATGTAGAAGCAGGAAGTAGTATACAGGCCAATTACTCAAGCAAAGTAAAAATACCTCGAAGCTTTACTTAAGTACTTTAAAACTGCAATTTTTGTCATTTGGTTGTGTACAACACTGGGGTGTGGCTTAGTTGGGAATGATGGGAAGACAATGTGTCACTCAGAAAGCCCAGTTCTTCTGTCCAGACTTCAGGGTGTAATGACCAGGACGAGCCTCTCTGATCAGTAACACACTCTGAGGAGGGAAACTGGGGCCCCGGTGTTATCATTATTTAAATAATAACACCACAAGTTTACCTTGAACGACTCTGTTTCACCTCCGAGAGTTTGCACTAGGCCACGACGCCAGAGCTCTGGCGGAGAGGAAACACATGTCAGCAGTCTGACAACATCAGGTAGAGGATCTGGTTCAGTGGCTGTGATGAAAGGAAAAGAAGGAAAACCTGACAAAGTATGTTTGTGTGTGTGCAGGACAGCTGACGTGCACCTGCCCCGACGTGCGGTAGTGAGATCTGGGGTCACACATGCTCACAGGCTTGGCAATGCGTGTGTGTGTGTGCGTGCACAGGGGATTGTCACACAGATACAGGACACCACGTAGAAATGTCCAGCAGACCACAGCCATATTTGTTTTGAAGTAGAGGATGGTGAGGATAAGGTCAAAGGTCATGGCAGAAACTCCCATCATGCCGTTCACTATTTCTACCTGCTTCGGTGTGAAACGAAACTTCTGGCTTCAGCAAAGGTCCAAATGTCAGAGGCCATCGTTGTTGGGACTGAAATAACCTGCGTAGTTTTATGTTGTTCTCGTTTCTTTAGCGCCACCATGAGGCCAGAATCTCAAAGTCTACCTCTAAAGAGCTGAATCACAACTGGGGTGTTTGATGAATATTGAATCCTGTCTGCAGTGCTAATCAGGTTATTGATCTTTAGTATTAGATTGCAAATACAATGCTTCTACATACACTCACCAGCCACTTTATTAGGTACACCTGTACTGGACCACATTATACCAGAGGTGTCTCTATATTTTTGTCTCCAGCTACATACATGAGAGGGTCAGAATATTAGGAACACCTCTGGATATAATGTGTTCCGGTACAACACCAGTGTTGTGAATGCTTGATAAACCACGAGGCTCTGACAATCACACACACTATTTATTTTCTTCACTGTGGCTGTTTCGTTTCATTTAGCAGACACACAATCTGCCAGTTCTGGGTGCAACAGAAAAGAATAGAACAAAACCTGCTTCTTGTGTTAAATGTCAGCGTTTCTTTTACAGTGAAGTTGGCCTCCGCTTCGACATGTTGCCTAGCAACAGCTGGCTGTCAGCACCCACTCAGGTGTGTGTGCAACTTGATGAATAAGACCAACTGTGTGGGCAGTGAAAGCGCTGGACAGCTCTTCACAGAGAATGTAGATGGAGGAGAGACGAGTGGAGAAGGCATCAGCTTCTCTTTTCTTTCTCTATCTCTCTCTCAGACACTTCCAGACAGAGTAGAGTTTCCATGGTGACCACTATGGGATGCCAAACCAGTTGCCGATAGAGGAGGATGAGGAGGAGGTCGAGGCCGGTGGACTTTTTCCAGCTTTTCCACAGGGACTGAAGTGTGTGGGTGGGTGGGTGCTCTCTCTCCTTCTTGCTCCCTCTCTTTCATTCCGACATCCCTCCCTCACTGTCTCTCTGATGGCACCAGTATGAGTGTGGGGGTGGCTGTATTTTTATTTGCTGTATTATTTGCAGCAGGTTTTACAGTGAACAGAAGAGAAAGTGAGAGGACCTCTGTGGGAGGAGGATCTTTCGTTTTTGCATTTGAGGCGTTCATGGACAAACACGAGGCTGGGAAAAGGCAGAACAGTTTCAGATATCAGGCCTGTGATGGTCCCAGGCACAGCAGGACGAGGTTTCAGTTTGGAAGGGACCGCCATGTCCTCAGGAGACACCTGGAGAGTGCCACACACTTAAGAAAGTTTCTGTTTATAATGAAACATCCCAGGTGCAGGTGGTGTTAGTGTGTCTGTTGTGTAAAGGAGACAACAGGACCTAGAGAGGTCAGGGGCCCCTGGACCCGATCCTCTGCATAAAGTGACCTTTAATATTTGAAAATCACAACCAAAACCACAAAGGAGCAGAGAAATGTGCACAAAGAGAAAAACAAAGCTGCAAAAAAGGCTAATTAACCACAAAGAACAGAAACATCAACAAAGACACACAAAAAACAACAAGGAAATTTTGCATCTCTGTCAGTTAAATTCAACAGCAGCACACACTCCGGCCTCCAAAACAGTCACACAGTTGAAACAGAGGAGTTAATGCAGGACTGCCTTAGCCTTGGGTTTGGGTGTACCTAATAAACTGCTACCTGACTGTGCATACACACCAGTGAGAGCCACTAGTTGTGTCTTTTCCTCCGTTACAACACACACAGTGGATGAAGGGTCTGTCCGTCCTGTGCTCGTGTAAGGACATCATTACAATAGGATCACCTTCAAACACACACTAGCACCTCCCTCTCTATTGTCCTCATCCTGTGTGTGTGTGCGTGTGTGTGAGAGAGAGTAATGTCTCAGGGTGCGTTGGCATGACAACAAAGCGTCCCCTTCCAAGAGTTTGTCTGGGGAGAGTTGGTCTCTGAGCACTGACACACACACATACTGGCTGCTGGAGCTGACCTTTGGTACGAGTTTAAATTTAAGACCAGACTTTGTGACAAAGTAAAAAAATCACTTTTTAACGTTTAAGTTAGTTTACTACAACATTCCCGCTGAGACTGTGTCTTCACTTCCAACGCACACTGTGTGGCTGCGTTGAGTGAGAGCTCTGTTGTTCCTGCCGTCTCAGGGTTTTGTTGTTGAGCCTGTTGCCATGGCAGCCGATCAGGGGATATGGCTGTGATTTAATTGGACCAGGGAGCAGGTGGTCAGGTCATGTGACTTGTCGTTATGTAACAACATGATTGTGGGTATGTTTGTTCCAGGCACACAGGCCGGGGATTCAAACCAGCAACCTGACCAACAACTCGAGGCTGTTGTAACTGGGAAGGAGCAGAGGGAGCGATGAAGGGCGAATGTGGCAGCCATCTCCAGCTGCTCATTTCATGTTTCCTGGCCTGAATTGGTCATTATATTCACGGTTTGTCAAGCGTAATAAGTGGTGAAATTCAAGGTGCAGTGCAGATTAAACCTGCAGCTCTGATAGAAACCTGAAGTGATACATGGACATACAACAGCTGTTCTTGGAGTCAGTCTGAGGGTGTGAAAGAAAAGGTCACGGGGTCATTCAAACCTAACAGTCTGCTTGGTGGAACTGCTCGCAGCTCAGACTCCACACTGAGCTCGTAGTTCTGAGGTCAGAAAACAAAATGTTGGGAGCCACTGGTTTAATTTTAAGCTTCTGGTTTAATGTAAAATCCTAATCTGATCAGCTGTGAGTCCACGCAGCGAGCCGAGAAGTCTCTCGAAAATATAGCAGCGTAGCTAGATAATGCCACGCTACTGTAGGCGGCTGCTTTCTGCCTCATTGAACTCTCAGCAACAAGGTTAATAAGGATATTTCCCAGCATGCCGAGCATTCTTTTAAGGAGCGCACAGAGGGCACCAGTCTTAACCAGGACATTTATCTACAGTACAAAGTACAACATACTGACTGCCTATAATTTATACATGTAGTGTTTCACCTGCTTCAGTAGAACATGTTTCTTAGACATAAACTTAAAACATGACCATATATTTATTTATCTGACAGAAACACACTCAGCTCCCAGCGACCAAACTCAATCCTGAGACGACGTCTCCTGCTCCAATGTGCCATTTAACAGATCTGAGGAGCTGGTACATGAAACATTACAGCTATCAAACAGGTGTGCACAGCAGAAGCAGCTCTTCAGGGTGCGTTTGATTAGTTGGTCAGAAGCGAGTCTTGAAGCCGGACAGCTCCAGCTTGTCGATGCTTCTCTGGTTTTTGAAGGAGGCTCTTGTGATCCGACTGCCCGGACTTCCTTCTTTACTCAACCACACCTTCCTGTGGGGGACCAGAAGACGACACATTACGGGGGAGGTGGGGAGTAAAATGTTTATCACGCTCCTGTAAATTAGCTCATTGTTCCAGACGACATTTTACCCCTGGTGAAAGTACAGGACACAGTTTGGACATTCAAAAAGACAAAAGCCTCTCGAGGAGGGGGCGGTGGACAGTGGGGGGTGTGGGTGAATGTGAGGCAGTGAAATGGATCCAGAATTTCTTTTAATCTTGAATAACTTTCAAACTACTAATGATATCAATGTGATTCTGGGCGTAGGTTTTCATGGCCAAGTAGTCCTGTTACATTTAGGTGGAATGACATAAGCTGCCTTGGAAACACGGAGAGCAGTCGTTTGTTCTGAGTCATGTCACATCGTGTTTCCATCATGTTCCTGGATTCGTATAATTACTGAATGTCAGATGCCTGATTCATTTCTCTTCCTGTCTTCGCTGTCATCCTTCCATGTTGTTTTTACCTTTACTAATTCTCTTTCTTTCATCACTCACTCTCTCTTCTCCATCACCCCCGTTTCTTTCTTATTTCCAAGCTGCTCGGCTCTCTGGGAATTTGCTTTTCTTCAGAGAAAAAGTAGAAGCCACCCACTGGTTCACCCCCCACCAGCTCTCCTGCTTTCCTTTCCTCTCTCCTCCATCTCTCTCCCTCATTATTTCCTCTCTTTTCCCTTTCTCCTTCCTTCTATTTTCCTTTTCTCCCCTTTCACCCCTCCTGTCCTCTCCTCTCTTCTTTCCAGTACTTCCTTCCTCTTCTCTTTCTCTACCCAGCGGAACAGCTGCCTCCTGTTTCCCAGGCCCTGGGGTAAGTGCGGTCACAGCGAAAGTATAGTTGACAGGAAGGACACGAGAGCGAGCACGTTAACACGGAAAAGATATAATGGACGGAAACACTAGAGAGCGAGCGTGTGAAAGTGAGTGTTAATCAGTCTGTGAGTAAAAGGTGATTTATCATTAAACCAAACCATAACACAAAGTCTATGTTCCTGGGTTCTAGATCCAGGTGTAATCAAAGGTCCAAACAGAGAACTGGACCTGCTGAA